TAGTGAAGGAGACGAACGGAGCCTGGTCCCGTGGGTGGGATCCCTCCCTTCCGATCTGGATCTACCTCCTAAAAATTCCGCCGTGGGTGTTTCTGTTATTTTCTGTTGATTTTGTTTAGAACTGTGTTTAAGTTTGTATGTGTTTCCTTGGAAAATTAATGAAAAAAAATCAAGAAAAATTGTTCAGTTCATTTTATCTGATGAACGTTTTTTTTGTGTTGGTGAATGAGGTTTTTTTTTTATGATGAATGTGTTTTTCCTTTTGAAATTGAAACTGATGAATCCTAATTCCAAGTTTTGTTTTTTGTGTTTGATGTGTTTTTGTTTATTTTAAGCAGCGGGTTGTGTTTTTGGGTTGGGTCAACCCGACCCAATCCAATAAAAAAAAAACTAAAAAGGTTAAAAAGTAAAAAAATCAAAAGTTATCTCTTTTATTTCAATTTCGCACAAGTTTTATGATTAAGCAATTCAGTCCCAAAGTTTCAAATCTTTTTAAATCAGTCCTTTATGTTTTTGAATTTAATCAAATTAGTCCCTTTAATGTTATATGTGCTTAGGATGCATGCTTGCCTTTGATTTTGTCCATTTTAGCCCAAAAATTAAAAAAAATGTTTCAATTTGGTTTACCTTTCTTTCAAGCTTGCTTATTAAGACTTAAATAGAAACATAATGAATAAGTTGAATCAAACCCCAATTTTAAAGTATGCAACCGTGTTTAAACGGAGGATTGTGAGGTGCGCGTATGCCCTTCCTCACTCCTAACTGAACCCCTGAACCCCGATCTCTATGCAGACCTGTTTTAGGTGACTTGTCCCACCTTATAATTTGGACGAGTGGCGACTCCCCTTTCTTATATAATTCACACTCGATTTTCCATTTATTTTGAAAAAAGTCTTAAGTGGTCGTCAACACATGGCATTTCCCCAACCAAGTTTTTTTTCTTTGTCGGTGGAAGCTTGGATAAGGCTCTAGAAGGCTCCCAAAAGCCCCATTTTGTTTTCCTACGCCTTCCTCTTCCACCTACATCCTTTTCTTCCTTCTTTCTCCAACCAAGATTAAGGTGCTTTTTGTTAGGTAAGTATAAGTTTTAGTTATGAATTTTGGGTTAGAGTTTTGGGTAGTTTAAATTAGTGAGATTTGACTTTAATCCTTTGGTTTATAAGATTTTTGGGTATTAAACTTTTATTAGAAATATCCTTAATTTTGGGGCTTATATGGAAAAGATAATGAGTTAGTCCTTTTTATTGTTTGATTTGGGTGTGAATTTTTGCTGTAAAAATTATAAATAAATTGTATTGTTTACAAATTAGTGTTCACGATTAGTGTTCACGATTATTGTTTATGATTACTGTTCATGATTACTCTTCACGCATTATGCTTTGATCTCTTTCAATAGGAAGTCCTAATATTATTTTGGACATATTATGAATTTGTTTGACATGCGTATGTGTTTGTAGCTATAGAGTAAGTGGACCTAAGCTTAAAGCTTGGGGTATTCAGTGGACCCTTCGAGCTATTTAGTGGACCTTTGTGCAGTAGGGTTAGTACTGTGATTAGCTCTGGTACAGTGTTGCTAGCACACCTCAGTGAACTCCATAGCATTATGTGATTTTCAATTTTATGCATTGCGCTTGTGACATCGTATTTGTGAGCATATGATTTTAGTATATGAATTCAATTTAAATGTCAGTGATTATTACTTGACATTTGTGCTTATGATTTGAGATATTAACATTGTTTTTGGACCCGGCCCGGTGGTTGGCCCGTTTTGGCCACCGGGTCCGGTTGAACCGGTTGAACCGGTTCACCCGACCGATTCAACCGGTTGATTTAAAAAAGGTAAACAGCTTTTTTAAAGACGTGAGCGGAGAGGACGATACTGGCGGAGAGGACGATGACTGGCGGAGGAAAGCACGATGACTAGCGGAGGAGAGCACGGTGACTGGCGGAGAGGACGATGACTGGTGGAGGAGAGGCAAATCTGTTCTGTTGATGGAAGAAAGAGGTGAGCGGCGAAGGGCTGAGATCGGGGAGGTAGTTGTGGAGTCACCGACGGCTGGGATCGGGAAGGCAGTTGGCCGACGGTGACTTTGCCTGCCGACGGTGACTTCGCCTGCTCTATTTCGTTTTAGCATCTACATCTGCATTTTGCTTCTGCACAAACGAAGGGCTTGCTTTTTGGTTTTGTTTCTGCACAAGGCTGGGTTTTGTTTCTGCACAAGGCTGGAAGCCGCCGACGAAGGTGACTGAGATTGGGTTTGGAAGGTGAGAGGTTGAGACTTTAGTTTTGTTTTTTAATTGATTTTATCTTTTAATTTTTAATTTAAATATATGATTTGTATTGTAATAACATAAAAAAAGAATAAAATAAGTAAATTATATTAAAAATAAAAAATTAATTTAATTAACATTAAAAAAGCTTAATGGACTTAGCCCGGTGGGTTAGGCGGTATGAGCGGGTTTAACGGGTTGGGCGGGTTATGGCGGGTTAGAACGGGTTAATTTGCAAAACGGGCCAAGGTATGCACTCGGCCCGTTTTTAGGCCCGGGTCCGGTTCAACCGGTTCAACCGGCCGGGCCGGGCCGGGTCCAAAAACACTGGATATTAAGTCATTATTTAAATAGTGAGAATTATAATATTATGTGATTTGATTCCGTTGTGTCTTATGCTCTTTGTGTAGATAGGTCTAAGGGTC